ATCTACAATGTACAGACATCGACCTGTTACAATTTTATTATATGTATAGATGTTGCAACAAAAAAATGTAAGCGACAAACATTGCATCAAGGGACAACCTATTTTAGAATATGTCTACGCATACATATCGTCGCTTGGCGCGCAATACCTCGTATACGCCAAATTCAATACCTCGTATAACTGGAAAAGGCAAAAATTGAGATTTTCTCAAACTATGTCTACGGTACTCAATCTCATTTATTTAGGCAAAAATTTTGCTATTCGGACAACAACAAAAACAAAAAACCGTATACTGCAATACCGCGAATAAGAACATTAGCAAAACTGTGATAGCAACATCAAGTATAGTTGACTTCACTGTCTTTAGTCAGCAGTATATCTTTGTGGAATTGACACGCGGTTTAACAAAAATATTTTTTTATACAAATATTCTAATGGGTGACAACAAAACTTCGCCGCATTCTCGTGGAATGCTTTTATCACCATTTGTTTCAAATGGGGACCATAAAAACAAAATTTTTTTACCAATTTGATGAATATGATGGTATATTATATATACATATATGTAAGTGCAAAGAAGAATTCCAATAGTTGATCTTTCTTGAAATTAACAGAAGGGCTCGGGGAGCTTGAAGGAATCAAACCATCTCTTGTAGCTTACTCATTGACATCAAGCGACACCATTAGCGAGGTAATAAAAACGTATTTTTTATTAAAAAAAAGTAACTACTTATTAATTAATTTTAATTTGATAAACTTAGGTCTCCGTTAGCCATTTCAGCGAACGGAAATCAGATTCCACTTTGCCAGTTGAAAATGAGCACTTACTTCAAGCAATAGATGACTTTCAAGCGACCTCTGATAGTGTTGTTTCTACAAAATGTGGGACGGTTGATACCAAAGCAATGGATTGGTCGACATGCGGTACCAACAACAACAACTGTACCAAACCAGTTATGGAAGGTGAGAGAGGGGATTGCGATTTCAGTGAACCGGTTTCCGTTGATCACACACCGGAAAGAGAACTATTGGAAGGTAGCGTAAATAAAATAAAACGAAATTGCAAGCGTTCAGCAGGAGAGAGAAAAAGGGAAAGTAATAAAAAAAAAGAGAATGATGGGTGAAGATTATTTGGGAATTAGACGGACTCACAAAAAAATATATCACGATGTTGCTCGCAGGAAAAGAGAACTAAAGGCTGCACGTTGTCCACCCACTTGCGCAAAAAGTAAAATTTCCTTTTGTGATAAATTTAACGATGAGATCAGGCAACAGATTTTCCAAAGCTTTTGGAAAAATATGAATTGGAATGAGAAAAAAACATATGTAAATAACCTTGTAGATATTTCTAAGGCAAAGAGAGCAAAGAACGAGTCAAGGCGATCAAACGCTCTTACTTATCATTTGAGGCTTAATAATGATAGATTAAGAGTTTGCAAGAACATGTTTTTGAATACCTTGAGTTTAAAAGAGTGGACAGTTCGTTCCTGGACTATTCTTCCAGCGGGTAAACGTCCCTTCCCTGTAACAAAAGACCCAAATTTATCCCTAAAAAGAACTTTTGTTAAACAGTTTTTAGATTCTCTTCCAAAGCTTCCTTCCCACTACTGCAGAGCTTCTTCAAATAAATTATACCTTGAGCCCGTTTTTAATACTCAGAGTCAGTTATATAATACGTATAAAATTGAAGCTGAACAACTGTTGCAACCTGTCGCTTCCAGAAAAGCGTTTGATAGTGTATTTTTCAAAGAAAATTTGGGAATATTTAATCCAAAAAAGGACGAGTGTAATATATGTTGCGGTTTTAAAACTAAGAATATATCGGAAGAAGAATATAATGTTCACATAGATCGAAAAAATACTGTTAGAGCTGAAAAATGTAAAGATAAAACGTTGGCTCTTAATGGTGAAATTCATTTGATAACAGCTGATTTACAAGCTCTAAAATTATGCCCAAAATTAAATGCTAGTGCTGCTTACTACAAAACCAAACTTGCTGTTCACAACTTCACAATATATAATCTGGCTACAAAGGATGTTATGTGCTACTGGTTTGGGGTCCTCACATAGTATTGACGTAATGTAATCAATATAGAAATTTGTGAAAGATGATGATTTCAGATCACCCTCGGTCTCATCAAACCAGTAGTAATTTACACGGACGGGTGCACATACCAAAACAGGAATACTGTTCTTTCCAATGCTTTGCTAAGACTTGCCATGGAATACAAAGTAGATATTTTTCACAAATATTTGGAGAAAGGGCATACCCAAATGGAAGTAGATTCTGTTCATTCAGTAATTGAAAGGATATTAAAAAATCAAGAAATTTATTTGCCAAGCCAATATGCCCTGGCGACGCAAGGGGCGCGTAGAAAACCATTTCCATATAAGGTTAAAATAATTGATCATTCATTCTTGAATGATTATAGTGATCAGAAGTCCTTTATATATGAGTCTATACGACCCGGCCGAGGATCAGGGGATAATGTAGTTGTTGATCTACGAGCGCTTCATTACTTGCCTAACGGTACAATTCGGTACAAACTAGACCTCAAAAAAGACTTCATCCCATTACCCCGTCGACCGAAAAAAAAATCCCTCCAAAAGAAATTTAAAAAAGCTTTTTCTATCTCGTTTAAAAAAAAAAAAATAAATAAATTTCAACATTTACAAGAACTAAAACAAGTTTTACCTAAAGATTGTCACAGTTTTTACGATAGTTTGCCGTATGAAACCTAACTTTTACATATTTAATGCCTAATATTTAATAATATTAAAAAATATTTTTAAGATAATTTGTAAAATTAACTATCTAATTGCAAATAAACTGGATTACGTTGCTATCTTTGTATATATTTTCAATACCGCGTATAAGATTGAAATGAAAAATATCGCATCAGCAATACCACGTACATGAAAAACAGCGATTTTTACAGCTTTTTAAAATACTTTCTTTAATATATTGCCTCCACAATATTGATGATACCACAGTCTAATAGTAAGTATGTTCAGTTTATAAACAATCCAGTACTTTCCAAAAAATTCAGTTTTCTTGCTCTCCTGTAAAATTTCAGTACCATTGTATACGAGGTATTGCATTTGGCGTATACGAGGTATTGCGCGCCAAGCGACGATAT